TTCCAGCGTGGCCAGAGCAGGCTGCTCTCACTTTAAGGCCAATTTTAGACCCATTCCAAGTTGTCAGGTCTCTCACAAGACTGGCAGGTTTGCTCCTTGCTTCGCTGAGTTGGTTTAGATCAAAGAAAATAATTAAATCACCCCTTTTATGAGTTCACGTGGCCCAAGTTAATGCAAAGCCACATTTCAGCCTGGAAACTCCAACCCTCTGCTCAGCCACCCAAAATCACCCTGCAAGAGTCACTGTGGGAGCCTAAGTAGGCCCAAGTGCAGGATTAGTCCAGAGAATTCCAACCCCCCCAGCCAAGGTCATTGGGTGGTTTTGGGTGAAGGAGGAGCAGACAAACATCAAGTTCACCAATTCAGGAGTTTAATTTGTGCACCCAAACCAGTTTTTTTTCATAGCAGACCTTCCACAGGCAGAGCAACCGGTTTGCTGAGCGCAGCAGCAGCAGGCAGGGAGCTCAGGGCCGGGGGTTCAGCTCAGTTCTGTCCCAAAGAGTTTGAGTGGAATCCACACCTCAACGTGCCCGAGCCGGACTTCGGATCCAGACAAATTTTCAAGCTGAATGGGAGCACTTGCAGCTGTTCCCAAAGCTATTCCCGGCGCTCCCCAGCATTTCTGAGAGCACATTTTCCAGCAGGGAATGTCTCCTGTTGCTGTGCAGATGAGCACTGACACAGAGAACACGAACCCCAGCCCCTTTCCCCGTGCTATCCACAACAAAGCATGTAGGGACTTATTCCCAACTTTCCTGGCAAAGTATTTTCACTAAAAATGCAACTTCCAAGTGCTTTTTAAAGCCATAACAAGAGCAAGGAGCGGCTCTGCCTCAATCCTCATTTTTTGTGTCCCACAGAAAGAAACATTTTCACTTGGATGCATCTCACTGAGCCAACTTGCTCCAACACCGACCTCAAAGGCTGTGAATTAGAGGAAGGAATTTAAACTCCTGGCTAAAAATAGCAGCATTCACACGAGCTCCTACCTTGAGGAATTCTGTTATACAGTCTGTCAGCTGCTTGTGTCCTTGGATGTTTAACTCCAGCTCGTAAAATTTGGACACCAGTTTAGATTCTCTGCCACACTGGTTGCAGCTGGGATTGAAAAGAAGATAAAAATACATGAAGACAGGTCATGGTTCCTGTGTCCCAGCCACAAGCAAGATACTCCTTGGATAAAACCAGGAGAAAAAAGTGGAGTCAGAGTTGAGGATGTTAACAAATCCACACCACAAAAACTCCACGAGAAGGTGCAACCAGCACAACAGCAGCTACCAGGACCTGTTACAGCTCATGTGCATCATTTTGTATCATTTTTAAGGTGAAATCTCCATCATTTTGTCATTTTTAAAGTGAAATCTGCATCACTTTATCTCATTTTTAAGGTGAAATCCACAGCTCCGAGAACGCAGAAATGAAAATACAGCGCCCAGGATGCTGTTTTCTGGCTGCAGGATTTGCCATTCCATCAACTCACTCACAGGTTTAATTGGTGAATTTTCATTAAAGGACTAAAAGCAGCTGGAGAAGTGAGACAGCAACAACACAGGCACAGAAACAGGACATTACAAGCTTAAAAATCCCTCAGAAAAGGTTTCTGCAGCACCTCACCTGCCTGGTCTCGTTGTAGGAGGGATCTTCCCCTCTCGAATCCTTCTAAAAATTCAAATATTTACTAGGAGGTTCTTCCCAAAGCCAATACTCACACAGTGACATAGGCATACTCTCCACAGAACTGCTTTTGCACGATGTTCCTGACATCTGGGTTCTTCTGTTTGGATAAAGTATCTTCCAGCAGGGACATGAACAGCTTGGAAAACTCCTGGGCATCCTGAAAAGAGAGAAACCCGAGTTCATTAACAAGCCCACCACAGCACAGTCACAACCCTGGCACTAATTTAGTGCTAATTACCCCGAGCCCCACGCACAGGCTGTACCCAGGCTCTGTGCACTGAATGGAAAATGAAGACTAGTTGGGAGAACTAAAGAAAAAAAGAGGAATTTGGCTAAAAGGAGCGTGAGGCCCTCGGTGTGGGAGCAGGGCTGAGCTCCCCTGGCCCCCAGCCAGCCCTGCCGGGGGTTTGACTCCTGCCCTGCTCTTCCCAGGGCTCTGGAAGGAATAAAAACCCTCCTGTGGAGCTTTCTGGCCCCTTGAGTGTCGATTTTAAAAGCTGGGCTCGCAGAGCCAGCTGTCCCTGCTGGGAGCAGAGGGGAGCAGGGCATAAAAACACCCCAAAAACAAGAGGCTGCCCCGAGGTTGATCCCTGCCAGGCTCTCGAGCTTCCCCACGCCCAGCTCAGGATTTTCCTCTCCCACCCTGGCTCTGCTCTTCCAAAAACAAACAGGTTTTGGCCTCTCCCAGCTGCCCTTTCAGTGTCCCTGGCTGGCAGGGACTGTTTCCTTCCCCTCTTGGTCCTCCCAAGGAATTCCCTGCTGGTGCTCAGGCCCTTCCTCCAACCACCTCCGTTACCTCTCCAAGTGGATTCCCAAGCCCCTCTCCCAAGCTCTCTCCAGCTGCAGCCCCACAGGATCCTGCAGCACTCACCCTGGCTGGCTCCCAGTGATACCATTAGGATCTCCTCGCCCTGGGAGGGCCCTAAAACCTCCCCAACCACCCACTGGGGTGGAACAGCCCGTGGGACACCTGCAAGAGGACCCTCACGGCAGCTTTGCCCCCCCTGGCTCAGTGCCAGGGTCACTGGGCACTACAACATTCCCTGTCTCCATCCCATCACTCCCTGGGCTCCTCCTCTCCTGTCCTCATCCCACTGCTCCTTCTCCTCATCCCATCACTCCTTGCACTCCTCCTATCTCCCTGGCCTCATCCCAACACTCTCTGTCCTGATCCCATCAGTCCCTGGCCTGATCCTAATCTCTCTTTTCCTCATCCCATTAGTCCTTGTCCTCATCCCATCACTCCCTGTTCCCACCCCATTGCTCTCCGGGCTCCTCCTGATCTCCCTTGTCCTCATCCCATTGCTCCCTGCCCTCCTCTTGATCTCCCTGTCTTCATCCCATTGTTCCCTGGGCTCTTCCTGATCTCTCTGTCCCCATCCCATTATTCCCTGTCCCCATCCCACTGCTCCCTGGGCTCCTCCTGGCCCCATCCCTCACTCCCTGGCCCCATCCCTCACTCCCTGGCCCCATCCCTCACTCCCTGGCCCCATCCCTCACTCCCTGGCCCCATCCCATCACTCCCTGGCCCCATCCCATCACTCCCTGGCCCCATCCCATCACTCCCTGTCCCCATCCCTCACTCTCTGGGCTCATCCCATCACTCCCTGGCCCCATCTCTCACTCCCTGGCTCATCCCATCACTCCCTGGCTCATCCCATCACTCCCTGGCCCCATCCCATCACTCCCTGGCCCCATCCCTCACTCCCTGGCTCATCCCATCACTCCCTGGCCCCATCCCATCACTCCCTGGCCCCCTCTCAACCCTGCTGCACTCCAGAAGGGCCCAGAGCCACACTCCTCCCTTCGTGTTTGCCCCTGGCAGCAAGACCCAGCTGGGAACGGCCAAACCACCCTCCCAGGGCAGTTCCAGGTCCCTGGAATGACCAGGCCCCCACGCACCTGCTGCTGGGCCGTGTCCAGCCCCAGGGCCTTGACGAAGCCCGAGGGGTCGATGTAGCGCCGTTTGCTGTTCTGCAGCAGCGCAAACAGGTACTGCAGGTGCTCACAGATGCTCTGGGGCTCGTAGTCTGGGGGAAACACAAGGCACAGCCAGGAATTCAGGGACTGATCCAGGGATTTTGCCCTGTCTGGCTTTGTCAGGGTGAGTTTATGACTAGAAATGGTGGGTTTAGAAGCTGGTTTTAGTTGTCGAGAGAACTGAAAGGGCTCGTGTTGGGGATGAGGGCAAACCCCAGCACAGGCAGAACAGAGAATGATTTAGGTTGGAAAACACCCTTGGGATCATGGAGTCCAACTGTAAATATTTGCTCTCTGCAACTCCCTGACAGGAGGGTGGAGCTAGGGGGGGAGTCAGGCTCTGCTCCCAGGGAACAAGGGACATGAGAGATGAGAGGAAACGGCCTCAAGCTGTGCCAGGGGAGGTTTAGATTGGATATTGGGAGGAATTCCTTCATGGAAAGGGTGGTCAAGCACTGGAAGGGGCTGTCCATGCAGGTGGTGGAGTCCCCATCCCTGGAGGTGTTCCAAAAACATGTGGATGTGGCATCTGGGGATATGGTTTAGGGATGAACAGGGCAGTGCTGGGGGAATGGCTGGGCTTGATGATCTCAGAGGGCTTTTCCAACCTCAGTGATTCCATGATTCTATCCTACAGTGCCCAGCACGAGCTGGGAGTGAAGGGTTTAAGCAGCATATGCTTCTGATTTATCCAAAATGGTGAAACATCATGTAAAACCACCATAAAACAGGAACAGAGCTGAGGTGGCTGCACTGACCCAGAGCACCCACAGGGACAGCACCCACACGGACTGGGAGCAGTTGGGAGCTTTAATCCTACCTGGAATCTCCATTTCTGCCCTCCCATGGGATAAGTGCAGCTCTGTGAGAGCCCAGATCAGCCCCAATCCATGTGTTCCACCCCCAGCACCACCACTGGGCTTTGGGAACCAGCCAGGCAAGAAACAAACCCAAATCAGCCTTTTCAACCAGCTCAGACCCCCCTGATCCACGAAATCCCTTGGATCAAGGTGACTGTGCTCCCAAAACCCAGGTGACGGCTCCAAACCAACGCCGTGGTGACAGGATGATCATCTGATGCTTCACCCACAGATCCTCCTGACGAATTCATCCCAGAGCCAACATCCAGTTCTGGGAGGAAAGGAGGGACTGCCCCTCTCCCAGGAGAACGTGCCACCCACCTGTGTCCTTGGGGACGCCGTCGCTGCAGGCGCTGGGACACAGGTACAGCGCCTGGCGCAGCTCCAGGTTCAGAAACCACATCTGCAGGAAGGTGTTCACGTAGCACGTGGCCCCCAGGTTGGTCAGGCCCACAAAGGCGTTCTGGGGGGGGACACAAAGGGTCAGGGGTCGCCTCCCCTCGTCCTCTGGCACTGGGGAAGGCAGGGGGTGAGTTTTGGGGGGGTTTGGGGGGTACCTTCTTGCGGCGCTCGCAGTTGGGGTCGTCGATGTTGTGGAAGCTGTTCTCGTCGATCTCGCCCAGCCACACGTGCTCCCCGATGCCCACCAGGCAGTTGGGGTTCCCCCGGCAGTTCCTCCTGGGAGAACGGACCCCAAGTGTCATCCCCGTGTCCCCTGGGGGCAGGGGGAGGTGACAGGGCAAGGGGGGACCCCATAAGGATGAACGGAGGGAATGTGGTGGGATATGGGTCACACCCACCCCACCCCCCGAAAATGGTGGTCAGGGACAAAAAAAGGGGATGGAGAAGGTCAGAGGGAGGGGAAAGGGGAACCCAGGAAGAGTATGGGATGTGGGGGTGGGTCCCCTGTATCTGGGGAGTCAGGCAACAAGAGGGATCCCCAAGATCTGAGAAGCCAGGCAGGGAGGAGCCAGGGTGGGAGAGGGGTCCCCAACAACTCCTTGGGGGTGTCCCCTACACCTAGGGAGCCAGGCAACCAGAGGGGTCCCCCCCAGCCCAGGAGGAAGGTCCCCTCTATCTGGAGAGTCAGGAGGGAGAGGAACTCCCAATATTTGAGGACCCAGGAGAGGGGTTCCCTACAACCCGTGGGGGCCCCCTGTGTATGGGGAGGGACAAGCAAGGAGAGGGGTCCCCACAACCCAGGGGTGTGTCCCTATTTCTGGGGAGCCAGGCAGGGAGAGGGGGTCCCCATAACCCCAAGTTGGAGGGTGGTCCTCTACACCTCAGGAGCTGGGCAAGGATAGGGGTTCCCTACAACCCATGGGGGTCCCCTATATATGAGCAGCCAGGCAACCCTACAGAGTTCCCCACATCCCCAGGGTTCCCCTATACCTGAGGAGGGAGAAGGAGGGGTCTCTGGGGGGGTCCCCTATATCTGAGGAGCCAGGCAGGGACAGGGGCTCCCTACAACCCCAGGGTTCCCCAATACCTGGAGGGGAACAAGCAAGGAGAGGGGTCCCCCGTAACCCCATCAGGGGGGTTCCCCTCTGTCTGAAGGGCTGAGCAACAAGGGGTCCCCCCCAATGCCAGGGTGGTGCCCTGAATTTGAGGAGCCAGGCAGGGACAGGGGTCCCCCACATCTGACCAGCCAAACAATTAGAGGGGTCCCTCACAACCCCAGGACGACTCCCTGTATCTGGGGAGCTAGGGAACAAAAGGGTTCCCCACAACTCAAGGGTGAGGGCCCCATATCCAGGCAGGGACAGGGTTCCCCCCAATCCAAGGGATCCCCTAAATCCGTGGAGCTGCACAGGGAGGGCTGAGGGCCCCCCAAGCCCTGGGAACGGGGTGTTCCCCCCCCCAGATAAACACGGGGGGGTCTCCACCAACCCCGAGGGATCCCTAAAGGGCGGGGAGCCCCTCCCATCTCGGGGGGAGGGAGCAAGGGGGGCCCCCAGCCCGGGGGAGCAGGAGAGCCC